TTCGCCAAGATCTGCGAGAAGACGGTGCTGAAGCGGGTGCTGAAGGAGCTCTGGAAGCTGGTGATGAACACAATGGAGAAAACCATTGTCCTGCCCCCACTCACTGACCAGACGGTGAGTGGCAGGGAGGGGGACCAGGGATGGGCGACCCTGGAGCTGAGGTGGAGGTGGCTGTTGGGGCCATGGGACGTTGCTGGCCAGGTGTCCTCACTGGCTGCTGGGCGGGGTTTGACATCCTCCCCAGACCTACCCCCAGCTCGAGGAAGAGATGGAGGAGAGAAAGGTCATCCTTGACCTTGACTGGTCTTGCCAAAGGACATTCTTGCCACCTCCTGGAGGTGGGGGCACTGTTTCTTTCCTCTCCATCCTCCCCTCTGAGCTGGGGCAGCAGCCCATGCCCTGCTCAGCAGCACTGGTTCTGGGCATGGCCCCTATGTCAGGAGATGGATCAGGAGGCTTTTGGAGCACAAAAACCCACCACACCTTGCTTTGGGCAGCTGGAATTGTTGGGGAGCAACTGTGACTAGCTTCACAGAGCTGGGGGTCACACAGGGGTTGGGGGGCATGTCCCTGCAGCAGGGCTGGACCTTTCCTTGTTCAGAGGCTGAAGAGGCTCTTGGGAATCAGAGCAAAGCCCAGGGAATGGTCCCTCCTCAGAGGATGTTGCCTACAGGCTTCGAGGCTCCATATGGTATTGCTGTGTCCTCCCTGCACGTTGCCAATCACCCTGGAACTTCCCGGGGCAGATGTGTTTGGGAAGGCTGACAACAAGAGGCAGCCACACATCTGTCCTCTTCACTCTCTGTGGCTTTTGTCAATGCCACAAAGCTGGGCTCTGGCTCTTACTTGGAGACCCTGGAGCCACCAGCTCTAGTTTTCACCTTTCTGGGGCTATGGGGCTCCTCATGCTGTGTCTATAGGGGACAGCACACTGGTGACATGTCAACCACCTCACTGGCGCCTTGTCACAGCCCAGAGTTCAGCTCAGCTCAATCCTGCATTGGTCCCAGCCAGGCTTGCACACCCTTGGCTGGATCTAGCAGGAGCACTGGTGCCACTGGGTCCCAGTTGCCATCCCAATCCCTCTGTCTCTGGAGATAGTGAACCCTGTGCTGAGGGCAGCGGAGGTGGCATGGACATGTGGATCTGCTGGGCAATTTCCTGCAGGGAGGTGGTCCTTGGAGAGGGCCATGCTGGAGCTGGTCCCTATGGCAGGGGACAGCCTGCTCAGGGTGGCTCTGGGGATGGTTGGCCAGGTTGGTGGCCTGGGACTATGTGGCAGAGCCAAATGTCAAGTGGGGTCCTCCAGCTCCCTGGAGTTGGGTCCCCCTGGGGCAGAGCCATGGTGAGGATGGACTGGACAGGTTGGGATAGGGCCACCTGGGGCTGTGGTGCTGGTGGCAGAGCATTGAATCTTGAGTGCTGTGTGGGGGACACCTCTGGCTCTGCTGTCCCCCCTGGCTGGGGTGGGGGGCAGCCAGCTGTGGGGCAGCTGGGGCTGGGGAGGCCAGATGAGGGGCCGACACTCACGTCAGGTTGTTCTCTCCAATTGCTCCGCTTGCCTCTCAATGGCAGATGATTGTAAGTACGGCAGCTCCCTGTCTGTCTGTCTGTCTGTCCGCTGTGTGTCGGTCCTGGCCTCGCCGGTTTC